GGGGGGGCAGGGAATGATACCTTTGTTTTAAATTCCCTCTGTCTTTTCTAAAATTCTCCATCTTTAAAGTTAACTTCTTTTTATGATTAGAGCAAAGATGCAAGCTAAAAATCTATCCACATCTTGCCAGTTACTTCTCAACTTGGCTTCAAACAGGTAAAGTTCAATAAAACTCAGTATGTTGTTGGGAGTTTGTGTCTAGTTGTGTACTTTTACACTGCCAAGTGACACTCCCACCCAAAATGAGTTTTGAAGGCTTCCTTACCAGGAGACCAGGACTCGTAATTAGCCGTAGTTTGAGGGGGATGTTGTAGACCCAAGTGGGCAGGGAGGCAGAGAAAGAGGAATGGATATAAAAAGTAAGATTTTCTGACCAACAGACAAACTCCTGTAACTCACGGGGGGGAGGGGGGAGGAAAAATGCACTTTCAATAGTTTGTCCATATTTTTAGCTAAAAAATACACTTGTATCTAAATTTTTTTGAGACAACTATTAAGAGGAACACCCGTCCCATAAATGGCTAATCCTCCTTTTGACCTCCTCCTGTCTTTTCCACATTGTCTTGAGTCCATTTTCAGCTGCCATACCTAATTTTGAAAACTGCTACTTTTAATGATGTTTAGAAAGAAAAGAAATTAACTCTGACACTTTTTTTAAACAGGGTGGACTTAATTGAAGTTTGCAGTGTTGAACTACTGCTGCAGTAGCTGCCTCTAGTTGTTGAAATGAACTGTAGACAAGTTTTCTGTCTATTAATCCAGATAATCTGGATTCAATAAAACGTCTGTGAGAGTGTTCCTCCCATCTGGTATGAATGTGTGTGTGCATGTGTTCCATGAACAGACAGAGAACCAAATGTTCTAGGTACTTGTCATGTTTTATTGCATACTTTTAAGTCGTGTGTATGTGAAGTGTCCTTTGACCAGAAGGTTTTGGTTAATATCAGTATATTTTTATAAATTTGAAATTCATTGTGCCCCATCTTCTTTCTTAAACATTTTTCATTGTTAGGGTATATGTGCTAGATTTGAATCTTTAACATTTTTAGGCACAGATGGAAAAAGTTATTGGCTCCTTGAAAACTTATGGGACAAAATGGATCCTCAAAGCATGTATGTACTTACAAACCAAGCTGTAGAGATCAAGAAAAGAACTTTATTGTTGATCTCAAGATTTCTAAATTGTTGAGATTTATATGGAGTTGTGGTGGAACTAGTTAACACTTAGAGCTTTTGGTATGTAATGACTATTTGCTATGGACTGATATTAAATGTTTCAAAGGATTGCGTTCTTAACCTTTCTGGATTTTTGTTACTCTCCTCAGATTATATTAAGTAGTTAAAAGTTTCTTTGCTATATTACATTAAAAACATAAGAACTTTGGGTCTCGTATTTATTTTCACTTGTTTTACTAATTATTTACAGACACCGTTTTAACTTTTTTATTTTATAAATGTGTAGTATTTTAAACATATCTTTAAAAATTGTTCAATTGGAACTACATTAACTTCTGATTTGTTTTTATTAGGATTTTTAAAAAAAAGAAAACAAAAACACTTTTTCCATGTTGGTGCACAGCACTTAACAGAAATGTTTGTATTCCCTTTCTTTCAATTCAATAAACAATAAATAACTGGAATGAATAGTTCTTAGTTTCCCTAACTTCACTTACATGACTGACTTGGATGTTAATTTCTTCATTATTAATTATAGATTCCTTCTGTATGTGTAGTATTTTATTTGCTTGCTAGGAAATTAACTTGTGGTAGTTCAGCTGAAGATGAATTCACTCAGTGTTGTGTGCAGGCTTTCCAGTTCTCAATGTTTGGCTCTAATCTACCTCACGCTGGTGTTTTCCCTGTATGTTTAGCAGTCGTCCCGTTCTGTGCTTATTGAACTCATTGAACATCTGCTCCTTTGAGGCTCCCTGAAAGCCTCGATTCCATGAATGCTGGAGCTTCCTTAAATACCAGACATGGGTTGCTTTAGGTGATCAGTGGGGTTTGTGGGGTTTTTTTGGTTCTTCACTTTAAGAAGGTGCTCCTAAAGTACTTGCATCTCCTAAATTGGAGATCAGGGACCTCCAGACTTGTATCTGAAGTTGACCTAAGCAGCTTTTGTGGCTGAGAGCTCTTGAAGCTGCTTCTCAACTGCTGCCTTTGTTCCCTCCAACCAACCCTGCGTTCTTATCCTTCTTCCTTGTGCCTTAAAACAGAACCTCATCTTTGTCCTGCTTTTTTATTCAGCTTTAGCTAATGTTCTGTTAAATAAAAAGCTATGGTTAAATGTGTTCTCCCCTTCCTGTAGCTTTTCCAAATGCAAACCTTTTGCTGAAGTGCAGCCAACTTTTTCTTTGAGCTTCTATATTGACTAGAAAAGGTCTTTACTCCCTCTAGTAGCACCTTTGTATTAACTTTATTCCCTCCCTTACAGTTTAAGCAGTGTATAGATAATTGTGGCGTAAATGCAGCTGCAAAGAGGAGGGGCATGCCTTATTCTTTTCCATGTGCTGCTTCCCTTGGGTACTGGCATTTGTGGGAGGGTCATTAGATTGCAGACCCACTTCACCCATAAATGATGCACAGAGCAGATGAAGGAAGTTAGTTCTTTTGGCTGGGTTTGTTACTGTGCTTCATCTGCTGTCCTATGTCTGCCTTTAACTGGTGTGACGAATGCAAGAGAAACGGGTACATGATTTCTATATAACTGACATTTTAGCATATGTAAGATTTAAAACTAACTGTAATTCTTTTTTTTAAACCCTTCAGATTATTTAAAAGAAATTACTTAAGGAACCTGATAGTAGATGAGCATTTCATAATTGGCTTAAATCCAACCTCTGCCTGAGGTAGGCTGCTTCTCCAGAGGGACAGTTTCTGCTTTATTCCGTCACCTCCTACCTTGGCCTATGCTTTCCATGCTGCCTGGTGCATCCCTCTGCTACTCTGCCTGTGTTGCACGTGCTTAGGCTATCGCCTCGTTACAGAAGGATGGCTGTCCCAGTTGTCTCCTCACTTTGAAAGGCCTATCATGCTCTGAAGAGTAACCACTGAAGTTTGTATGCCTCTAACGTTTTTGCCAAAGATAAGGTGGTTAATGTACTGGTAACTGCACGGTGGTCCATATAGCCCAAATTTTCCTGTTGCTACCTCCAATCTCATCATTACCATATCCTTAGAGGCAAAAAATGGTCTTAGCATTTGTACAAAATCCTAGAGAGCTTCTTGTGAATAACAAGACAGTAACATCCCTGTAGGGCAGGGATATAAATTAAGACAGATGCTACCCCCCCACTTCTGTGGTGTTTTTTTTTTCTTTCCCAGATACATTGTTCTTTTCCCCTTACCCTTCCCTGCCCTGCTCCCATCTCTGAAGAAACACTTCCCTCAGTAGAGAATAGAAGCTTTTCATAGTGAGTGATAAAAGTTTCCAACTCCATTAGGGAACGAGTCTACTCTGTCTAATGTCATCACTGTAATTCGAAGGTGCTAGTAGTTAGGAATCATTGAAGACAATGTATCTTACTAATATTTTAATTAATAACATTTCTCCCAAAATCTTGTCTTTAGAACAATATATAAAACTGCTAGTTTAAGTGGTGGACTGACTTACAGATTAATGACCTCAGTGTGAAACGTCATTAATGATCTTTATCTATTGTTTGCACTACACCAAGGGCTTAACTCAGGCAGCTTAATACCACCCCTTCCTCTGATAACACCCAAAATATGTGTAGCAAGTTTTTTTCAAATACAAATAAGATAATTTAATTGCCCACCATAAAAGCTGATACAAAAGTTACTGACTTTCCTGTCTTTTTATTTGCTCTCCTTTTTCCAGGCCTACATCCTGTCTGGGTTTCAGCTTTTTAAGGCAGTACTTTCTGCAGTTTGATTTTTGTGGCGTCACGTAGTCAGTGGCATGCAGCTGAGGTAGCTGTTTCCTTAATTATTTTTAATGAGTGTAATTTTCAGCAGTTTTTCATCTTTGCAACAGCTGAACTTGGACTCCATCCATCATAAATTTAAAGCCAAACCTCTAGAACAAATATTGAACAGAAGGTATTAAGAGAAATCAAGCTTCAGTGTTGTCTTTTCACTACAGCGGCCATGAAAACAATTCACCAACTACAGGTATACACCAAAGAACAAGTACTTAAGAAGGAAAATCTCACAAGTTTTAGGACTTAATTACAGAACTATATTTTTGAAGTGTTTCACTTCATGTGTCCGTTTCAGAACACCTGTTTCCATGCACATATAAAAATTTAAAGACAGTTATCGGACAGTTGAGGGTACAAACTCAGGTTTATATACTTATCACTGATGCAAGAGTTGCACAAAAAGAACTTAGTTTGCTGGTGTCTTTGAAGTAGAGTCACATCAGGATTGGGATAACAGGGTCACGGTTTAGCAGACCACCTCCCCCAGCTAGACGTACTCTTGATTCACCTTACTAGATATGGAAATTGCAGGTTCATGGAGTAGTGACTGCAAACAGTCTTTTGCTCTGTAACCACCTCTAACTCTGGTGCAATATGGTATTTACTTTGTATGGAGGTCTATGACGTATTTCAAAGACAAAATAGGAGTTGAAGGGGAAAAGCAAGTGTAAATCATGATTCTTGTCTGTTTTTCACTCTTACACACAAGTGTCACTTTCACCAGAGGGACCTTAATCCAGCCAAACACAAGACTTGACAGAGGTTGTTGGAGGGACGGGTAGAAAGGGAGAAAAGCATAACTTTTATTCCATTGCTTTTCAGCTGGCAAAAGCACTGACACAAAGACGCAAGCTGTGCTACTGTTCCACTTCGAAATCTGTGGTCCTAGCGCTGCTTCAAGCTACGATTAATAGCACAGCTTGACAGCCAGAGGCACATCCTGACACCTTTCAGTAAGCAGCAGCCATCAGAGCTGCACTTAAATTTGTTCTGGAGCTACCACTATTACCAGTCCATGCTGCTGAAATGAGTTTCCCCTCTCACCATTTAATTCCTATGAGATCAGTTCTGTAAGCAAGGATTTCATCTTACAGAAGCAGCAGCTCCAGCAGCTTGGATTATAAAGGAACAAAAACAACTGCTACACAAATCCAATGTCTTTTGAAAATATTTTATGTTAAAAATACAGAAAAATATTTCTTGTTCAAAGAGGAAAAATATACTGCATGACGACACTGATCTAGGTATGTTCAGAAGGTGTCTGTGGCTCCACAACCAGTCACTGGAGTGATGACCCAATTTGGCAGCTAATGGTTCTTTTTCAACTTCTCAATCATTTATCAAAGCCAGAATCATACTGTGACAAAACAGAAAACATGATACCAGTGGATTACTGAAGCATGTGCAAGTAGGAACAGCTGTCGCTTTCACGAGAGAAGTGCATTTGATTCTGAAATAGAAAGTCAAGGCAACTATGCTACATGCTTTGCTTATGAAGACAAGGCCTGCAGAAGTAATACTGCAGAAGAACAGTAGTTCTTCCGTCCTGTAGTAAGTGGCCCCACCACAGAACTTGTTGGTTTGTAACTTGGCCAGATCAACCTTATTTTCTAAAACAGAACTTGTAGAATAAACTTGGTCCTCATGGTTATTTCCATTCTAAACACGCCACTTACTCTATGTGCTGAAATCATGTAACTCTTTATGTGGTACTTATAGTGGTGTTGAGATTAAGGAGTAGTCTGAGTTCCCAAACAATGTTTGATCAGAATGAATAAAGGCATACAATGAGCCTGCAGATAGCTGTCAAAATGTATTATTGAGGCTTAGCAGGATGCCAAAAGATAAGACACGAACACCAGCAATTACCCTAGCAGAACAGAGGAGATAAAAATAGCTGGTAGACAATTCCTTTGTTCCTTGGGAGCAATTTTTGAAACTAACCTGTAAAGGTACATGAAGAAACAGAGCAGATGAAAGCCTAGTTTAATCATGGCTTCCTTCATGTGTGATTTCAGTTGTCCTCGGTTATGGATCTCTGTGGGATCAAATACCCCCATGTTTCCACTTGGCACCATAATGTACCTGAAAATTTAAGAAAAAAAACACAACCAAGAATAGCAGTAGAGTCATCAAAACATTAGGGAGCGTCAGGGGAAGGGGAGGGGGAGAGCGAGACTTTAATCTAAAAAGCTGTTTCACAATTCAACATAAGGGAGCTCTTTTTTAGTTCTATTTCGGTTTCAGGATATTGCGTGTATCTCTGCCACTACAACCCACAAACAAAGAGTAAGAGGACAAGAGGACTAAAAGCATCGGCCCAGCTTCCCACATGTACAGTGGGAGAGTTTTCAGTTCATTTTAATTGCTGTTCGTGGTTACTTGGTGTTATGAAGGAAACGTCCAACCACAGTGGAAAGATGTTAGATGAAAGGGACTGGGAAATAATTGATTTAGCTAAAAATGAGTGATTTATTTACAAAAAAAACCCCACCCACGTAGACAATCACAAACTCCAGTGGTCAAAATGAGATAGCACAAGGCAAGACAAAGGATCTGTGTACTATTCCCATCTCCGTCACAACCATCCTGCCTTATTTCAGCAGAGACACTGATCCTGATGGGATGACAGACTGGGCAGAACTGAAGAAGTGAAGTACTGCTGTCTGAACTCACATAGGAACAAAAGTTGAGTGCAACAAAGTGAAATGTAAGCAAAAGGAAGAATAAAACCAGCAAAACAAATGTTTGTCCTGTGAAAATTCAACAAGCAGCATGTTATTTTGTCATATGCATTTTTCAAGACGGCAAATGCAAGCACATGAAGTTCTCACTCCAGATGAGCTCAGTCTAGAACAGTATTATCATCTCACTTAAATGTCACACAGGCTCTACCTTCCTGGAAAAATACCCTTTCTACACAGGAATTTAACTCCTCATCTTACACCTGGAGCAAAAGCAAGGTCTCAGAACAGAACACACTTTGATTTTCTTTGTGTACTCAAAGAATGGCACCACTTGTAATCCAACAGGCACTCCCCCACCTCTTACAACATTAATTTCAGTAATAGGAGGGAAAAAGAAAAAAGGATGTTTTCTAGCAGCAGCAGCCGCCAAAAAAAGAAGAAAAGGTAAGACCACAGTATTTGTCTGTCTTTCACAGAGGCATTAAAAAGCACTGCAGCATATGTGACAATTAACAAAGACAATTATGTCCGATTAAAAATAGTTCATGTGAAATAATTACAATTCAAAATTCTCTTCTAAATTTGAAGTATTTTATTCTTTTAGTATTATAACACAAATCATTGTCCATTTACTGGGAATGTAATGCATTTTATTGGAATAAAAGGAAGAACACAGTTTCCTGTAGCAATTTATCCGAGAAATAGAGACAAGAGTGCATAGTTTTCTTTTATCTCTAGGATACGAGTACCATAAAGGTAGTATTTATTAATTTTGCTTTTTAAGAAGAATGGTAACACTTAAATGATGCAACTTAATTGTGGAAGCTGGGAGGCAGTTTTTCCAAGAGGCCCACAAGCTAGTACAGCTTATATTATAGGAACTGTAGTCATGGACACAACGATGCTGGATGCTGATAAACCAAACTAAAGCCAGTTGTCACACTCTAAACAGCAAAAAACTTCTGCAGCAAAGCCACACAGAAGAAGAAAACAGTCAGCTTTAATGAATATACACATTAGTGCCTCCAGCATCTCCATTCAGTGGAAGCTGCTGCCAGAGATTACACAATTTTGTAACAGATGTGGCGTCCTGGTCAGAATTTTCACTGTATTTTAAAGATTTTATGGGGTTTGGGGTGGTTTTTTTGCTCTTTCAGTTTAAGAGGGGTATGATCTACTTAAAGACATGGCAAGAATCACACTATTTGGACCTATTCTCTCAAGCAGGTCTATATAACAAAGGAAATGTTCCTTTTTTTTTTTTTTTTAAGAGTTGCTTTCTTTTTGTCTACTCACATTCAATATTTCCTTTGTAATTCTTGCTTCTTTTACATAGTAGCAAGGCAAAGAAATATTTAAGAACTAAAAAAAAAAAAACACCTGTTTTGACATATGATTAGATTTCAAATAAGATGCCTCAATATCTAGTTTTGAAACAAGAAGAATGTAAGACTAAACTATGTCTTACTGGAGATTGTATAAGACACTACAAAATTCAGCAAGAAATAAACCAAATTAAATGAGCATCTGAGTAGGGCCAGTAGGATGTCACAATAAACATGCTGCAACTTTGAAAGTCTCCCTTGATGCTGTTTTTGACTGATTTATCCTCATCAGGATTTGTTTCTGATGCCCCTTTCACACAAAACCTCTCTACTCTCGCTGAAATCATTGAGACAATTAGTAAATTAAGCCAGTATTGCCTGTGACTGCCATTTACTCATCCAGATTAAGCAGGTTTTGAAGGAAAGAGAACAAGGGGAAGGGATTATTTTCCCACCTTTCTCCCTGTTATCCTTTAGATATGCTATAAAGCACAGACTTTTTCAATCTCAACACAATTATTTTTATTTCTCTACTCATCTTGGAATAGAATGATAAACTTAAACCTTTCTGAATTCATGCACAGCAACATTTACTCCAGAAATTGGTTCTTGAAACACTGTAACACATTTGGCTGATGTTGTAAGTTTGCAGCACATGATATGGGTTCACACTTCATCTGTTCCCACTTAATCCTAGTTTAGCAATTCATTCCTTCTCCTCTCTTCAGTGTATTCAAACTACCTTACAGCGAACCATTTTTCTGACTACCACACCTTTGTCCATTGAACACTGGCTCAAATCTAAGTGCTATCCCAAATCCTCCGATCTTCTTTATAATGCTAAACACCACACTTGCTTTTGCAGACCTTTAACTCCTTCACTATGGCTGGGATAGTCCAGGCTATTTATGTGAGTGAAACGCCTGGATCCTCAGGATTAGCCATGCAGGCTTAACATTTTGACTTTTTGTGAACAGGACAGGCAAAGCATCATATTGTCATACACATTTATTGCACACTGCACATCTAAAATTGAGGAAACAATCCTGGATTTTAGGACATTCAGAAAGTCTACTCCATGTATGACAAATATAAAATGCAAGCTGGCAATTCAAAACAGCAGTCAAAGCTTACTGCCTGAAGCACGGAAATAGAAATAATTGTGTCTTTTAAAATTCTCTCTGATCAGGTTTAGGAGGGAAAGCAAGTGGCAACTTTCAACATTAATATAAGTAAGCAAAAGGAAGCAGCAAAGGGGTAATCAGTACAAGATTCAAGCTTCAGAGAAAATGCATTCTCTCTCTAGTGTCTCTGTAGAAACAGTCTAGCCTAAATGAAACATCAGGCTCCACACTGGCCAGCAGATACCAAAGGAAGCACCCGTCACTTTGTGCAGGTGTGTATAATACAGTTGGACATACAGGCGGCCAAACAAAACTATCCCTGTGCGTGCACATTTAGGCAACATTTGTTTGCTAAGCATACGAGTTATACTGTCTCATGTTACTCCAGCTTAAAAAGATTTGAAGGCTTTGCTAGCAGTTTTGTAGAAAACAAGGGTGATAAATGCCCAAGAACAATGAGGTTACCAGTAAAGGCATGCTCAACTTCTTTTTAACAAGAGCTACGAAACCTCTTGTTTAGTTTTACCAGCAACTCGATCCATCCCTGCAAATATTTAGCCCTGGCAGGTTCAGGCAAACAAGAATTGCAGCCAGCTTTTCATACCTGTATCTTAAACATTTGGTCTTTTGGACTTCCTGTAGTATAGTGATTAGAGATGATTTGCGACAAATCCACACCCAGTTTTCATGAGCATAACACTGGTAAAGGTTCAATTCTCCACACATCAAATGATATGAAATAAAAAGAACGTTTTCGAACCGACAGTCCCGATGTTGCCACGTGGAAGCCCCTACTGACAAGTAAACCATTTCAAAGTGGTGGACAGCTGCGTTACGAAGGCCAGTAACACCCACAGCTGTCCTTAAGACAAAAAGTCTGCAAACCTTTCCAAATACAGAGGCAAGATGGGGCACCAAAAACAACACAAATGAGGGGGAGATACAAGACAGTAAATGAAGGAGGGCGAGGGGGCTACACCACAGCCCAATGGTTTTACAACCATCGGCCATGCTGACCTAAGTACTTTTATGCCAATATCACTATCAGGCACGTAGGCACAGCATGAAAAATGTTAACAACTATGTTTGCAGTACTACTTCATAATCCCCATTAACGTGCTATTATTTCCTATGAACTTGGGAATGACTCACAAATCAAGATTTCGAAAGAGATTGTAAGGAAAGGCCAGAAGTTTCATATCCTTTACACTGTTGGGTTTCTTGTAATTTTAACTGCGAGGAGAGGAGAGTTTTAGGTTAGTTGGATCCATGAAGAATGTTGGCAGCCCAAGAACACAACTAAAACATCTCATTGTGACATACTGTTTATCTTCATTCTACACTTAAAGCTAAGCTAGTGACAGTGAAAAAAAAGCAGCACACAAAGCCCTTTGCACTTACCTATATATATTCCATGTTGCTACTGGCAAATTAAGGAGAAAGATGAACCAGTGCAACGAAATAAGCATTAATACAGTTACAACAGCGTGACCAATCACCTCAGGGACCACCCACTGTAAAAAGGGAAGAAAAGAAAAAAGTTATATGCACAAATATAAATTCCTTCCCCAACCCCTCCAAAAAAAAACCAAAACAAAACAAAACAAAAACCCAAGAGATATATATGGAGTTATCATCTGATTCTAATAATGTAAAACTCAGACAGAAAATCCATGGCAGAAGCATGTGATTTCATCACAACATGGGGAAATTAATATCTTCAGAGAGATTCTATGTGATTAAGCCAGAAATCAGGCCCTAAGATATTCTGATATCCAAGTATTACAAAGACTTCCCGAGAGAAGCACAGCAGCTGCTTGAACACAACTATATTACACAAGCACTTAAGAAAGCGAGTTAAGAAAGTACACGGTGCTCGTTTGAAATCACTGCAGAGAACAGCGGATTTAGGAATGAGAGAAGCAGATAATTAAAACAGACACAGGACATACAACACCCTCAGGCTTGGAACAAATAAGAAAGTTGATCAATATGAAAACTGGCATAGTTAAATTGGGTCAGTGCTTGGCAATAACACATTTTTGGCTTGACAGTATCCTCCCTTACATCAAGAAAGAAAATACTTTTAAAATCAAAGTGAACACCCATGTGGGAAGTCCACATTGATTTAACAAAATCAGCATTAAGCAGATTTGGTTAAAAGGTATTTTTCCTTATCACAGTAAAACTCTCTACTGTTCAAGAGAGATTAGAAATTATACAGAAGCATCAGTTGCTAGAAAGATCTCAAAGTTCAGTCACGACGAGACATCCTTGGTGTGGTACACCTACAAGAACTCAAGAGCTCTGTGAAGAGTTCCCAGACCCACAGATTCAGAGTAGCAGCCCATCTCAGAGCACCAAGGGTCAGAACAGACTTTCAAATTCGTGACTGAATTTGCTGAAAGATGGGCACCCAAATAAAGACAAGCAGACTGAAACAAAGAGAACATGGAAAATACTGCCAACCAAGGCTCTTCAGGTATACATTACACCCCTGTGTAAAACAGCAAGGACTGTTTGCTTAAACCACATTAAATGCAAAGAAGAATAATTTACTTTATTGAGTTTTGAGCAGCACGATCTAGCATTAATGTAGTCACATTCCAGATCTGATAGTGTAATTATCTGAAGTCTAAAATAAGGAAACATTGTATAGTAACTCAGAATACACAAAGCTCTATTTCGATCCAGTAAGTGGGGGAGAGCACTCTGCTCGCAGCATAGACTGTCTTGTTCTACAGCTGATCTGCCAAAGACATATTTCTTTTAGTTACAACTCATTTCTACTTTAGGTAGGAAGTCAGGCCACATTTTATCATCAGGCCAAGTGATTTTATTATGTTCTTCCAACAGCAACTGTTGCACAAGTGCCAAAGTTCAGTCCAACACTTAAACTAGACCAGGGAGGTATTTTTAGTATCAGAATTTTTACTAATACACTTGAAACTAGAACGTAAAAGGAAGAAAAAGTTCATGCACTTTTTAAACTTTCCTCACAAAAAAGCTAAATAATGCACTATTGAAAAGCGGATCTACTTTTTTTACATTTACAGCAACACTGGATTAATTCACACATGAGTAGGAAACAAGAGGGTAACAGCATCATCACATGAACTTTCAGCAATTGAGATATTAAGATTTCAAACAGAAAAGTCCTCTCAAAAAAAGGCTTAGGATGCACATGTGCACATCATCATGCTATGTCCTGTAAAGCTGATTCTCCTTTACTCCAAGAAAATTAACAAGCACAAGATTTTTTCCTATCCCTAAAGAACAGGTGAAGTCTTTTCATTTTTCAACAAATAACCTGTCCTTCTAGGATGAATTTCTTTCAAGTGCTTCTACACTTTTTTTTTTCTGTTAGGAGAACTGGGTAGATTCTGAAATAGCACCAAGATTTGAAACAGTACGAGAGCCAATTCTCTTTTATTCAGAAAAATAACAACAGAAAGCCCAATCAGTGCTTTTACATTTTAGCAATGCCGGACAGCAAAGACCAGAGGCAAGTTTGTAACAAAGAATACGGAAATTCAGTTTGTCGAGGAACTCGCAGATTCCCACGAGCTCAGTCACATTTAAACCAGAGTAAGGTATCCTGACAACTAAAAGACTATCCCGTGGCCGTATTTTTTAGGCCTAGGTGGTTTCTGAGGGGTGAAGCACACCCCTCCCTCTACCCCAACGCCAACCACACGCCACTCCTGCCGAGGTACGATGCACAGCACCACCCCGCAGCTCCCCCGAGCTCCGGTGCTCGAAGCAGCGAACGTATTTGGGCACTGAATCACTCGCCGCTTCCCCGCAGCGAGACGCTCCCAC